AGCCGCGGCGTACGTGTGCGGCCAGCCGCGGCGTACGTGTGCGGCCAGCCGCGGCGTACGTGTGCGGCCAGCTGCGTCCGTGTGACCCGTGCGGCGGCTGCGGCGTGCCCGTCGTGGTGGAGAGTCCCTCCGACGCGGCTGGCGTCTGCACCTTCGCGGCCCAACCGACGGCGGTGGCGGTGCGCGCACTGTGCGAGGTCACTCGCCCCGCTCCAGCGCCGCTCTCGCCGCCGGACCGCGCGCGCGCCCTTGCCGGCTTGGCGGCGGTGCTGCGGGAGAATGCGGCGCTGCTCGCCTCCGCGGATGCGTTGGCCACCGGGAACTGCCTGCGCGACGCCCGTCGCTCGCTCGACGCCGCCCTCGACTTCATTACCTTCTGCGAGCAGCGGCTGCGCACACCCCAAGCGACGCCGGCAGCAGCGAAGGCAACGGCCGCGGCTGCGGCCCGCACGGAGGAGGTCCTACATTCGCTTGGGGGCGGCGAGGGCGACCCCCGCGCTGGTGCTGCTCCCACCGGGGCGGTGCCCGTGGCGTTGTGTGTGACGGCAGCGCAGTACCCTCTGCAGTGGGGGATGGAGGCGGTGGCGACCGCACTTCTGCGCGGAAGTGCGGCTGTGTGGCTGCCGTCGCTCGAGACCCCGCTCTCGGCGCTGTGGCTCATGCATCTCCTGCAGCGCAGCAACAGCGGCGGCGGTGGGAGGAGTGCGGCGGCGGACCCACGAGCGGCGGTGCACATCGTTCTCTGCCGCAGCGAGGAGGTTGTGGCGGCCTTTACGCGCCAGCAGCGGGAGGAAGGGGATTCCCCCGTCGTGGGGCTGACGAACGGCTTCAGGGAGGCGCAGCTGCACCGCCTCTGGCAACCCCGCGACGCCGTCGCTGTCGCTCGCGGTGCGGGCGCCTCGCGGGTGGCGGGTTGGCATCATCGCTTCATGACACCTTCATTGGCCGTCGTGGGGCCCAGTTCCTGCCGCACGGGCGCAGTGGCGGCACGCATCTGTCGACACGCCTTCCACGGCAACGGGCGGAGGCTGTACGCCCTGCAAGTCGCCTTTGTGCCCCAGTCGGAGATTCTGTCGGTGCTGCGCGGTGTGGCGCAGTACGTGCGTGGGCTGCGCCTGGGCCACAGCCTGGACCCGACGGTGGACGTGGGGCCCCTGCCCGGGGCGGCGCACCTGGCAGCCATGAGGGACGCCGTTGAGGCGGCTGTGTGTTGCGGCGCGGTGAGGCTCCAGCAGGTCTGTGGCGGCTTTGAGGTGGCCATGCCTGCGGGGTTCTTCTGCCTCCCGTGCGCCTTCTACGGGGGCGTCGCCGACGTGGCGCCCGCCGCGACGGAAGCGGCGCTCCACGCCGTGCTCGCCGCGACCGCGCGGCTCCGCGGGCCGCTGGACCGCCTTGGCGGTGGCCCCCTCGTCGTCGTCTGCGGGTACGATCCGCCGCGGCAGGCGGAGGCGCTCGCGAGGGTGCTCCGTGGCGCGCCGGCGTACGCGGTGCATCGCTGGTGACGCCGGGCCCTTGCGGGGACGGGCGCCGCTTGTGCCCCCCGCCCCGCTCTGGACGCACCCGCCGCAGTCGGTCGCATGCGACTGCCCCCCTCGCTCGCTCTTTCTCTCTCCCCCTCCTCCTCTGCGCGTCTCTCCCTCCGCCTGTTCTCTGCCTGCCAGCGGGGTGCGGCACCGTTGCACAGCTGCGTCTGTGGGTGTTTATTTATTTTTTATTTTTTTTTGCCCTCTTCTCTCTTCTTCTTCTTCGTGTAGCTGAAGCGCAGCTGACAAGGCAGCGCACTCAAATACACGCACGCACGGACACACTGACGCACAACGGGAAAGCCAGGGAGCAACGCGAGCGAACACCGTCGGCGCCGCAGCCAACCTTGTCGGCTTTTTCCTTGCGACACGCACACGCCGATATATAAATATATACATACATATATCAGCAGTATAGCTCTTCCCGCCACTCTGCCCGCGTGCTTCGTCTGCGGCTACGCTCCGGAGAATGGGACTGGCACCCCTGCGGCGGTTGCTCGACGCGGAGGACGGGGAGGACGCCCCGCTGTGGTTCATCAGCGCCCCCGCGGACCTGCAGCCGCGGAACACCGCGACTGCCAACGGCACGCCGCCGAGTGCGCCACCGCCGGGCTTTCCGCCCCCTGTGCACTGCCAGCTGCGTCTGGTGCCCCTCATCAAGCGCTACTTTCCCTCATGTGACAGTGTCCTCTTTCAGCAGTTGCTGGAGGCGCGCGGGCGGCAGCACCTTCGCTACCACTTCCACTCCACGCAGCACCTGCCGCCCGTGGCGTACCTCGACCCCACGATGCAGTACTTTGACTTGGAGCTGGGCACGCGCGAGGTGCGGGGGCCGCAGGAGGCGGGGGGCCACGAGGAGCCGACCCCAGCGCGTTCGGGGCCCTTTGTCGCGCCCGACACACTCTACAAGCTGCTGGTGGAGACCACCGAGGGGAACCTCTTCGAGGACGACAGCGCCTTCAACGCCGCACTGCTGGCAGGGTTGGAGGGCGGGCGTGGGAGCGCACCGAACGGCGCCGCCGGAGCCGGCGTGGGAAATGACGGCCATTCTGACAGCGGCTGCGAGGAAACTGCCCAGCGGCAAGCCCGACGCGTGCGCCCTGTGCCGTGCGCCATCCTGCAGCTGCGCTACCACACCAGCGCCACGGAGGTGCCAGGAAAACGCTTCTTATCCTTTGGCTTAGCGAAGGCCCTGTGGGAGGCGGCCGCGGCGCCAAGGAAGGAGGACGCGAAGGCCTCCGTGGTGGTGGACGCGGAAGGCAAGTCGTGGCTTGCTTGGGATGTGAATGGGGTGAAGCTGAGCGCACGCGTGTGCGGCTTCTACGGCTGCTGGACGGTAGATGAGCTGGTCGGCCACGCGCAAGGCGGAGGGGTTGTGGCCCCGCCGTCGCCTCTCCCGCCCGCGTCGGTGGGACCTTTTGGCATTCGCGGCGACAGCCTGGTGGTCTCCGGCTGCGTGGAGCGCGACGTTGGCGAGCGGGAGCTGCCCCATGCGTGGATGGCCGCCTGCAGGGCGTTTGCAAGCACCATGATGACGCTCGCCCCGTGTTTTCAGAGCGGCGAGGGGCCACCGGCGCAGTACCACGGCGACGGTTTTGGGGAGCGATTGCCGTCGTCCCCGCACTCGCTGCTGCGGCAGCTGGACCTTGCCTTTGTCCTGCAGCTGTCCGACATCCCACAGCTGCAGCTGTGCCGCCAGGTGCACCTCTTCATGGATGCGCTGGAGGAACTGGCACAGGAACCGCCCACGGTGGCCAACCTGCATCTGCTGCAGCGAAGGCGCAACTGCCAAACAGTGCAAGAGAAGTTGCTTGGGCCAGTGGCGCCGCAATCGACAGGCTGCGACTTTGCACTTCCAGCCCCAAACGTCTCCGTTGCCACGGGTCACCGCGTGTGTGCGCCGCCGCCGCCGCCGCCGCCGCCCACGCTGCTGGTGGGGGGCGCGTACCCCGGACCTGCGTCCGTCGCCGAGCCCAGGACGGCAGCGAACGGATGCCGCCCATCGCCGCGGGGGACCCCGCCGGAGAAGGGCGTCTGCAGCTACTTCTCAGACGGGGCCGTGGTACTCCGCCTTTCCAATGCAAAGGTGGTGGAGGCGCTGCAGCGGCTCTGGTACGTCCCCCTGAGTGACACGACGGAGGCGCTGATGGTGTCCCTCACCTCACGCGTGCCCCCGCCGTTGGTTTACCGCGGGGAGCTGCGCCCCCCCAACCCGCACCCGCGCCGGGGTCCCGCCGTGCCGGGGGTGGTTGCACGCAGCGAGCCAGAGGCGTCTGCGGGACTCCTGCTGCCGTGCGGCTTGGCTTCGGCGCACGACGTCTTCTCCGTCGGCCGCGAATTTGACGGGGCCCCGTTTTCGATGCTCGTGTCCCCCGCCGGCAACCAGGCGCCCGCCCGGGACGGGGGCTGCGCGGGCCCGCCGGATCAGAGCGGTGGCGGCAGGACGCCCAAAAACGGGCCCCCCGCACCCGCGCTGAAGGTGCCCGACGCGGCAGTGGCGTTTGGCGACTTGATTCGCTGCGACCCCGTGGCGGGGCTCTGGTGCGTGGACTCCGCGCTGCGGGCTGAGGACGTGGCGCTGTCGTGGATGCGGCGCGTCACCGGCAAGGCGAGGGAGGCGAAGGACCTGGACGCCCGCTGGCTGCACTACCCCGCCCCGGCGAAGCCCGACGCGGCGGGGAGTGGGGGCGCGGCGTGGGAAAACGCGCCGGACGCCGGGGGCGGCTTCGTGCGTCTGGGCCGCTTTCGGCCGTGGCAAATCAAACAAGACGGCTACACCCACTTTCACTGCATTGCGGTGCGAGGCAGCGGTGCGGGGGACGCGGCGTCGGCCGCGTTGCCGGGGAGGCAGCCAGGCGGCAGTAAGAAGAGTAGGGCCTCCCCGGCAACGCGGCCGACGCCAAAGGCGACTGCCGCCTCCCAAAAGGCAGCCAGCGGCGCCGTGGCGAACAACCCTGCCGAGGCAGCCTCGCGGCCGGGGCCGGGGAACCAGTTTGCGGACGGTGACCGGTTGCCCCCCGCGACGCCGTTTGCGCCGAACGTGCCCGTGGAGACGAACAGGGCCGCAGGCATGGCAGGGGGGCCGGCGTTTTCTGCGACGTGTGGCCACGGCTGCGGCGACGGTGGGAAGGCGCCGTCGCTGGCGGACGCAAGCGTTGTGGATGGAGTGCGACCGCCTGTGATGGAGCAGGCGCTGAACTCGTACGCCACCAGTGTCAGCGCCAGCCCGAACGCGTTTCAGGAGCAAAGCCAGTCTCGCGTCAACCGTCCCTGCATGTACTGGGGGCAGGGGAACTGCTCACCATGCGTAGAAAGTGCTGGCTGGGACCGGGAGGACTCCGCGCCCTCGTCGAGGATAAGCATGCACAGCCACAATGAAAGCTTGCCTGCCCCAAAGGTGGGATACTTCCCAGGGAATGCCACGGCGGCGTTTGCGCAGGCCACGCCGCGACGCCCCTTGGCACCACTCTGCGGGAAGCCGCCACTCTTCACGAACCTCTCCACGAGCTCCTTCACGACATCCCGTGCGTCTCCCAATAGCCAACTGTCACCCGTCACGGCAAACCCCGGACCTGCGTCGTTTTCCGTCGCAAGGGCCCCCGTGATGGACTCTGCATGCGCCCCCAGCGACGACGGCCGTGTTTTTCTGGGCGGCCCCGAAGGCTCTATGCCCCTCGGCGCCGGCGGGAGGTCGCGGTACAGGGGCGGCGCGAGGGCCGTGGTCTCGCCACCGCCGCCGGAGTATGTGCAGTGGGTGGCGGGCGCCGGCCCCGCCAACGCGGAGGCACGGACGGCACGGCGCGTCGCCACCCGCGAGAGCAGCGCGAGCCAGTCGCAGGGCGACGAGGAGGACGGCGGTGAGCCACTGCGGCAGTACGCGCAGCAGACCCCCTCATGGCGATCGTCGCAGTCGCCGTTGTCGAGCCACCCCTCGTCGGTGCGCGTCTACAAGGAGGACAAGCAGTGCTACCACTGGAACCCGTACGGCCCCGTGTGAGCGCTGGCAGTAAGCTAGAAAAATAAAGAAGAAAAAAAAAAGGCAAACAACACCGGGTGGGGGGCCCGGGATCGCCCTGCCTCGCTTGGCCTAATCATTCCTCTCTCGATCTACCTCCACCCTCTTCCCACGACGCGGTGTGTGTGTGTGTGTGTGTGAATATACATAAATATATGCATGCCTCCTATACCTATACCTATACCTATATATACACTTGGCGTCCAACGCGCCCTCCAGCGGGTGCAGCTGCGGCACCACACGCGGGAAGATGCCCACAACCCATGAAACACTTAAAAAATAAAATAAAAGAAAGAAAAAAAAAGGAAAAGAAAAAAAAAAG